ATCACTGCATGTTTTACAGGTGGATGTAGACACTCACTGTTGTACCTCTCTCCTGACTTCCTCCATAAATATTGATGCCAAATTTTGATTAGTCACTCAGTCATACCTGTTGCCACTGATTTTCAGTCAGATTTTTGTGTAATTTGACATACATCAGCTTTTTCTACTTGTTTCCCTTCCTGAAGAATGGCTTCTTGATAGAAACCCCTCAGCTGAGACCATTTCTGCTGAAGCTTAACTGAACAGTAAGTAGACCAACTGAAGGGTCAGATGCATCTCTCAGACTTTCTTATATTGTTCTACTGTAGATTTTTAGTCCTGCTGCGTCATTGTTCGTCCTCTACAACTTTCATCAAAAAATTTTAAGAACCCACTGCACACCATGACAATATATGCCAGGTTTTCAGCTAATACCTCTTTACCTCTACTTGTTGTTTCAAAAACACTATTTTATACCTGTCCAACTGTTTGATCTTTGGCATTTTTCCTAGGTTCAACTAAAGAATGGAAAGAAATTGTGTGTTTTTGTGACAAGTAACAGAGTGACTAAGATACAATTTAAGTGTCTGTTACACACTAAACTGATTCAGTCCTTGAGCAAGGTGCCTTATTTATTCTTGAGTGATTCATAGATTAAGGTTAAGTAACTTAACAAGCAAACAAAAAACAGGCAAAGAAAATCTTCTAAAAATGGTACAATGAGTGAAAAAGCTGCCAATGTCAAAAGAAAACCTTTGCCCTTCAGGAAACCCAGTAAAGACCACTTTAAGAATTGCAATAAAGTCTGGCTCTTTAAACCAAAAGGCAAATAAATGATGGGTGGATAAACTGAAACTTATAGATGGATTTCAAAGTAAACCAAGTCCTCATCTCACAATGACAGGCTGGCAATTCAATCAGTTTCTTTCTGAAAATGTTCTTTAATTTGGCGAAATATAAAAAATGAGGGGTAGCTTAAGACTTTTGTACAGTACTGAAAATGAGGCCTCATATCAGTGTTACTAAATGTTCTTCAATATAATAACCATTTACAAATTAGCAAAAAAAATCATTAATAATCAACAAGTAACAAGTGCGAACAGTCAGCTAGAATTATGGCTCTTCCCTAATTATAAACACTGTATATTTTTACATTAGTCACTAATAAAGTGGACTGGTACACGCATAGTGCTTTTCTGCTCCAGCTGTGTGCTCAAACTGCTGCCTTCCACAAGCCTCCTTCACCCCATAGCACTTCATTTTATTCCTTCGAACGCTTTTGTCTAAGATTTACACACCCTCTCACACTCCAATAGATGCATCAGGGCCAATTTGGGGTTCAGCTTGCCCAAGGATACTTTGACATCCTCGCTGGAGGAGCCACGGTTCAAGCCACTGACCTTCTGAGCTACAGCTGCCCCTAAACGAAAGGAAAATTGAGGGATGAATAAAAAACAGAAAAACAAACTTTTTGCATTCAATGCGTTTTTTTTAGACTGCTGTATGAACAATCTACTTCATGTGGAAGCATTTCAGGGTTAGAAGAAAGTCAATTCACTGCTAAGCAGTTCTCATGTGATGCAGCTTTTTAATCTCCCACCTTGTTTTTTCTTCTTTTTATTCATCTTTCTTTTTCTGCCTTTTCCTGTTTTTTGTTTGTCTTCCTGGTTTGGTTTAAAGGAATTGATTTTTGTTTTGCCAGGCACTCCTTTACCGTTCTTCAATTTCAAGTGAACTCAGCATTCACATTGTTGGCTATAAATCCTCCTGGGTTGTTGGGGTATTGAAAAACAACTTTTTGGTTTCCTGTTCACTCTCTGGAGTGACGGGATGGGACTAGCAGAATGGTAACACCACGGCACATCATCATCACTCAGTAGAAATGATTAAACACATCTCCTCAAGTCTAGTTCTGATTTGCAACTTAATGAAGGCTTCATGCATACTTATGATTTGACACCTAAAACAGCTCAATGTGAACATAATTAAACATGGGAAATATTTAAGACACGGAGAAAGCCAAGATAAGGAAGCACAGTTTATGGTGGACCAACATGTAATTAGTGTATAAGGTAAACAGCCACAGGGGAAGCCAAAGGGAGAATTTACAGCCGGTTAGTGGATGCTCTCGTTCCTGTATTTAGTATTCTTGGGGCTCATGGAGGGGAAAAAATGAAGGAGGAGACAACATAACATGGTGAGTTTACTGAACAGCAGTGGTCCAGTCTCTCTCTGGTGTATATGTATGTGTGTGTTGGTTCACACTGAACTGTAGCACACTCTGTGCTGTGAGGGACGGCACTTTAACAGTCTTCTTCCATCAGGTAGAGACGGCATGTTGCTCATGCTCACAATTGATTGGTGGTTGGTCTGTAACCTTGGCAACACATGCTGGAGGGTAAAAAAAGTATATTTTCCAAATGGTTCAGAAAAAAAAACAAGGTTTGGAAAATTAAATGATACAGTTTTAACTCATTGTACTTACCCAATAATTTGACCTTCACGTCCTCTTTGCGTCAACAAGATAAAAGGAAAGATGCTCTTTAAAGAGTGAATTTAAGAAAGCACAGTGCATGCTGCAAAAATTCCGTTGGGACAAGAGATCACTTGTCATCTGAAAACCTGCTTTGAAGTTTTAACTTTTTCTGTCAGAAGGCTCTAACGGAGGAGTGTGAAAAACAAAAAGTTTCTTTTTTCAAACTTCATGGTTAATAAATGAATCACAGCTTGACTTTGAAAGACTGGTTTTGATTTGTGCTGGGATTTACAGTAACTTGAAGAGAGGTTCCCACTCAAATTGCAGTGGGAACCTAGAGTGGAATTTAAAAATTTAGAAGACAAAAATACTACAAAACTATATAAAATGCACAGGGAAGGATGTTACCCCGTATGCTCAACTGAATCTAAACTACAGCTTGGGCTGGTTCTGGTATTTTCTTTTATGTTTAAAAATCAATTTGATACATTCACACCCACTTGAATCAATCAGATCAAGCGAAGAACTTGTGATTTTGTTATTATTCAATAAAAGAAAAGTAAATTCCATAATTTAGCAGCCTTAGATGATGGCCATTTAAAATTCTTATTGGTTGTAAGGTTAAGATTAGCATTTAGTAACCTGATTAATCCATGTATCAAAGCGTAGGCAAAGGAAGGAATAGCTGAGCCTCAGTGTAAGTTCGCGAGAACTAGAGTTGTTTGTGTAACCACCAACGACAAGCTCAAACAAAAGACATGAAGCTTCTCAGTGAAAAACCCATTTATGCAGTTTTTAATGTGTATTGCCCTTGGGACAACCAGGAGGGATTTTAATGTGGAAGCGTAGAGCAAAATGAGCTATATTTGAAAATGAGTAACTGATATTTTTAGTTGTATTACATATGGCATTTTTACATATGGCAGTTTGTTGGCAAGTAGCAATGGTATAAGCACTATAATGCTCAGTGACGCAGAAGCTATGAAACACCCAGGAGGCTGGTGGTTTGCAACTATAAAAACATATGGACTGAAGTAAGTTAATTAGAAGAAGTAACAAAGTAATTTTTTAACACTCTGTGTGAATGTGTGTGTGAATGGGTGGACGACTGGATGTGTAAAGCGCTTTGGGGTCCTTAGGGACTAGTAAAGCGCTATACAAATACAGGCCATTTACCATTTACCATAATTACTACATAAAAAGATTTGCTTGTTAGAAAGTGCATGTATGGTGCTCTTTAACATGCCATATATACTTTGGGTAAAAACAAAACATATATGTACCTACAGACAGAGAGAGAGAGAGAAAGAGGAATGGGAAAAGGGGAGGGAAAGACATCTTGTTGTGAAGATGAGAACATATTTGCTTTTGTTAAATAGCTGGAGGAAGAATTCAGTTGATGAGAGGCAATTAGTTTTGATTAAAAATGAGATTGCTCCCCTTCATGCAATGTAGCTATATCAAAACAAAATAATGATTAATTTCTGTTGGTATAAGACATTATTGTCAACAGCTAAAGTACCCATGCAGCAACAATACAATTGCTCTGAGGCCAAAGAGGAGGAAAAATATTCATTTAGAGACACTGCTGGATGTTCCTCTGGAGATGCTCGTAATATAATGTGTGGCTGCTTCTGTGTAAGTGCTCACAATTCTGCCTGTGTGGATAATTTGCACACCAAATATGTTTGTGTGGGAGTTTTCCGCATGTGCGATTCCACCCACATTTCGAATACTAATCCTTATGTTTTTAAATTGTATGTTACTATACATTTTATGCTTTCCATGCCTATTTGAAAAACACAATCTTGAAAATAACACAATTTTTTTTAATTAGTCCTTTAAACAGTGATTTATCCCCACATTTTACAAACTGAATTTGTTGCTTTTCAATGCATCCTGCTTCCATTTCTTCAAGTCTTGTCATTACCATTACTAGCCTGCAGTGCCTTTTCAAGGACTTCATTTCATTCTTAGTGAAAATTCCACTATGGTTCCACTAAGTTAGGTATGATTAAGGTACTTTGAACATGACACATGAAACAAATGCAAACAGAGAACATAATATTACATTCACAGGGGAGTGAAATGGGATTTGTGATAAATCATATGTACATACAGTACATATGTTACAGATTTAATCCCAGCAATTGTGATTTTGACACTTGACTTATTATTTAAACACTCATTTTTCCCTGTTCTCCACCTCAGCTGTGGCTGTCTTTACTTTAAAGTCACTGTCTGTCCCGCTCTGTTCTTTGTGTGTGGAACTTTGCACACGGATCACACAATGAAGAGGAAACACACACAGTGAAACAAAGAGCAGAGGAGTGGAGGGAACCAGCAATAACAGCTGTACTGAAGTGAAACACATGCAGGCACAAATAAATCTTTTTCCCATTTTAGTTATTTCTTTTTCCTTCTGTATTTCATGTTTCAAGTAGAAGAGAAGTCCAGTTTATGAGTGGATGCGGGGCTGGAGGGCAGGGAACTATGTGTCTAAACTAATGCTGCTTTGTTATGTGTCTGTGCTCATCTTTCACAGCGTCCATTGTAATTGGGAAATGGTGGTGTGAGATGGAACCGTGTCTGGAGGGAGAAGAGTGTAAGACTCTGCCTGACAACTCTGGATGGATGTGCTCCTCTGGGAACAAAATCAAGACCACAAGGGTGAGAAATCACACACACTTAAGTTCAGCTGCCTACATCTGCATGCACACACATACTCTCATAATACAGAGAAGCTATTCTACGCATACTTTACACGCATGTGTTTGTCATTTCTGTGCTGCGAGTAGAAATGCACACCTAACCAACCATACGACACGGCACACTTACACCGTTTCCACACAATGCATTGCATATAGCCAGACAACTTAAAATTTAATTGTTTTTCTTGAACTTGTCAACTTCCTGCTGCTGCACACATTGAAACGCAGATTTTCAAACCCATATAAATGTGCTGAAATAGCACTGTAAAGAAATTCATCCAAAAGCTGTGCCCTCTCTATAACAAGGTTGGTTTTGTTCAGTGTAAGCAACCTATCTAATGGCCCATAGTAGTAAAAAAATAAATATAAAGCAGGTGGTAAACAAACAGGTGGGATCTGCCTCAGGCCACACTTGTCAACGACATAAAGTTAATGGCTGCTCTGCTCCTCCACTGCTTTTTCAGCTTTGCGCACTCACTTCGATTGCAGTATGCAAAAATAATGCAGAGTTTAGTCCTCGAAGCCAGCAGTCCAGCACTGTGACAAATTGATCACCTGATTTGTATTCACTTAATTGACCCCCTTTCTCCCTTCCAGTGCTTGGTGACAATGACTTTGAATAGCAGCAGAGGCTAATGTGATAGTAGAGAAACGGGGAACAGCCAGTGAAGGCTAGACGTCATGGGGCTTCCCAAGGTTGTTCTGTAGATTTATGTGCCAGCAAATAGACATAAAGCTTTCAAAGGGGCCCCTCACAGCCATCGCAGGCTTAAAATTTTCAGAAAGAAGTTGATCGAATGGGGTCTTGCCAGCTTGTCAAGGTAAGGTGCAGTACTTGGTTTACTCTTTAGAATGCATCTAGAAGTATCAATGCAGCCCACTGCATAATGTGAAGAAAGTCGTTTTAAAATGATCTTATGAACAGTACTGTTCAAAAGTCTTGAGCAACCTGTCATTTCTTTGCATTTCACTTCAAAGGAGCCAGGTATTTAAAAATGTCTTGGGCAGGCTTTCTAACATTTCTTTTTCACTAATTCTCCAGTCCAGCCCTTATACCTGCGCTCTCTGTTTTGTGTTTTGGATGAGTCGCTTAACACTGACTCATAAATCAGCCAAATAGTATTATATGAACCGCATCTGTATTATATTATTATATTGCCACATCGCAGACAACTTAGCAAAGAACCAATTATAAATATCTTTAGACACTTTATGACTAGCAGCCTTTTGCAAAAGCATGTGACTTCTTCCTAATTCTTTAGTCAAAACTATGAAAAACACTTACGATAACACGGTTTAACAGGCATAGAATATTTTTGCACCAACAAGGTCATTCCCAAAGTGCTATTGTCAACATGGTGTGCATTGTGTTAAAACAATTTAGGACACCAGGCAAGTAGAGGACAAACAAAGAACTGACAGGCCCAAAAAGCAGGTGAACAGTATCTAATGTCCTTAAGAAATAGGAAAAGAAATCCAGCCAAGACCTGAGAGATGCCTCTGGCTATTCAGCTGATCTACTGTCCTCTAAAGCTTCATCAGAAATGTTCAGTCTCAGTGGAAGTGTGGCTGTCAATAATCTGATCTTAATGAAGAGAAACAGGGAGAAGAGGCTGGCGTACGCCAAATTGCACAAGAACTGAACTGAAAAGTCTTACGGAGTGCTGAATCCAAATTTGGTTCAGATTATCATCAGTATGTATCAGCAATGAGCACAACAGTAAGGGTCCACAGCCATCTGTAAAACACGGTGGAGGCTCTGTCATGGTTTAGTGGTGTTGGAGATTGTTGGAATTATTAAAAGAGAAATTACCATCAGATTTTGATCTATGTTGGAATAATATCTGGAAAAGCATCTGATTGATTACAGCTTCACTTTCGAGCATGACAATGATCCCAGTCACATTGCCAGAGCAGTAAAAGGATACCTGCATAGAAACAAAATGCTTTTTTTTTTGTCCTAAATGTATGTTTGCAGATTTCAATAAATCATTGCACCTATTAGCTATTTTCCTAACAAAATATAAAGCAATGCAGGGTGGCTCAAGATTTTGGCACAGTAAAGTAGAGGCAGTGAATCCTATTTTATTTATTTACTCTCTTGAGATGCAGAAATCGAGTTTGTTAATTTCTGCGCACAAAAGATGGAAAAGCTATACTGTAACATGGCTTTGGTCTAATGTCAAAATCTTAAGAGAAGAGCGTAAAAAGGTCAGGCCTGAAGGTGCTTTTCTACCGAATACACACGTGTCCTTCTTTTCTTGACCCTCTCTTTGCAGAACACCCAGCCATACTCCCCTTTTTAGCTTCCGGAAGCAAAATGCAGAGGATGCGTCAACAGAAATTGAGCTGCATTCTTGCTTCTGTAAAGGTTAGTCTTTTTTTAAGCTGTTCTCTTTTTTTTTCCTTCTATGTTTTCACGTCTCTCTCACATCACTGTATGCATTTGAGTGTTGGGCAGTAGGAGTGGGACCAACTCATGTTCAATGACTTCCCATTAACCCAAATACTCAGTGCGAAATAATCAAGTGTGTGTTTACATGCCGTGCATGATTAGGCAGGCGTGACACAAATACTGATCGCACCGCCACCCACTGTAAATATTTATCACCAAGCGCAGGCAGAGCACGCATAAATAATAAGCAAGTTGCTGCAAAGTTTTTTACAGAAACTGTGGCTCATGTATCAGTAAAATGTTTAGTGCGCAGATGGCTTAACATACATATGCATACAGCATGCTATAGCAGCGCATTCACAGAGCACTGTAGAAACACACACACACAGAGTCGGGTCCGCCTCTTAGCAGAACCTTGCTGTCTGTGATCAGTGTGTAATGGCAGGATCTGTCCTTCTTCCTTTCATTGCCTCCTTTGTTCCATGTCCTGTTTTTTGCTATCGGCCACTGTGTGGGTTTGATTACAGCGCCTTGCACCGGTCTGCCAATCCCATTAGGCACTAATCTGTGACATGCTACTTGCTCCTCCATGTGTGTGTGCTCCTAGTTGTGTATGCACGCACATGTTTGATGTGTTTGATATGTCTGTGTTTGTACGGGTACACTCATGTGTGCACAACTGAGGCTGGCGGGCAGATCTCTTCCCTTTTCGTTGTGTGGCTTCTTATCAGAGGCCACTTGATGTCCTGATCCCCCTCAGAGGGTCTTGTTGAAGCAGCTATCAGCACACAGCATAGCCCACAGGCTACATGAAAGGGCTTTTATCCTGCACTCTGCTCTCTTTTTTAATCAACATTCCTCATTCACCTGCCTCTCAGGCCAAATTGCCTCATTTGTATTTGTTCCTTTACAAGCCACCAAACTCACAACACAGCGGCGTGTTTTCTTTTTCCTAGTCATTTTGTTCCACCTAGAAGTTTTTATTTGGTTCTGAAACGCGCAAGTGAAACACAATGAGACAGGCGTGCGTACATGTACAGCCAAAGACAGGCTTCATCATCATCATCGTTCACAAAAAATTGGCATTCAAAGTAAGAAGCAAGAAGCAAAAAGCCAGTGCCTGACACCCATGTTTCTTCTTTTCTTTCCTTATGTCTTTCAGAGAGGGAGCCCTTCATTGCCTGTTCTGTATCAGCAGACAAGGCAGGCCCTATTGTTTGTGGAAGTCACAGTGAGAGCGAGGCTGGGGAGCACCTTCCAAAACACTCGCCCACCATAGATCTGCATTACCCGCTCCACTGGCTAAATAGATCAATCCATTTCTGCTCCCTCCAAACAATTACACACCTTAAAAGAGACAGGCAGAATGAGAGAGGCTGTAATCGAAGCATCTTTTCTCTTATTCATTCTTCTCCCCGTTTGATGATAGCGAGAAAAAAAATTACATCCATTTAATAACCTCATTGTTAGTGTACTAGAGTGAATATCAATATGTTGTCACTATCAAAGCGAGAATGTGATACATATCTAATACGAGCGTCATCCCGCATCCCATGAATTTGAACTTTTTCTAGTGATTTCACACTGCAGCAAACGTTTCTTATTCATCTACAGAAGTTGTTTAAACTGTATAAAGACACAATATTTCCACTAGTGTTCAGATTAGTGAGTGCAAAGCGTTACATTTAAGTGGAGCACCATCTTTCACACTTTTCAGTGTGTTCCATCTCCAGCTAGTCTGACATGATTTACTTGCTGTTCAGTGTGCCGCAAGTCCCTTATTAAAAGGAGCAGAGGGCACTTTTTCAAGCAAAATAACACACTGTGACAGGATGTAGCCCATCTGTGAGATAGCCCGAGAGCAAAAGTGACCTGCCAGCAGATGCTTCACCATCTAATTTGTCAAATCGGGAGATCGAGCTCTGAAGTTGATCAAAATGAACTCCAAACGGCCGTGCCGCATACAGTCCAGCTTCACCCAGGAATGATTCGTTCCATCTCTGAGCCTGACAACGCTTCTTTCTCCTTCAGCTTTGTATAATGTCATCACGATGACAAACAGAAAAATTATAAACTAATCATAAACAGTGCATTGTTTGAGATATCCACTTTGTTTAAAGGATGAGACTCTAAGCTGACAGATGCGGTTCAGACTCCCAAAAGTGCCCAGATTGTCATCCTTATGACATATTTATACATAGTAATGGTGAAGGAGTTAATTCCAAGTGCTGCTGATTAATTTATGTTCATTTGCTTTTCTTTATCCATTGTCAATGTCACATTAAATGGATCTTGATGTATTTTCTTGTCTGGAGTCTTCTGTTTTCAGAGGGTCCTCTTTAGTGCTATTTCAAGTGGTTTCTGAGCAAGCATGATTGATTTGTTCAGCACTAAACAAGAAAGGGGAAAGGGTAGGCTGTGTTTGCACTAAATCCTTTTGTTAAGGCAATTGTCCTTGGGTCTTTTTACTAACTGAAGTCTGAGCAAATTGCAATTTAATGCACCCAGCAAATTAGAATGCAGACACCTAAGTTGCCAGCAAAGATGGGAACAGGCAGGAAATCCTTGAGCGTTCCACTTGTGCTCGCTGCACTGTTTGCTTGAAGGGGACAAAAAAGAACAGAGGACACTTTTAGTTGCTCTTACATGCATATGTGGGTTGAAATGACGACATTTGCATACAACCCTTCTCTTCCCGCTAACAAACCTCTGGTGGATTGCATTTCAGACCGAAAGTGATCCTCAGTGGTGTAACCTGTTACTGCTTTTGTTCTGGCAGAGGTAATTTTGATATGTCACCAGACAGTAGATCATACATATGCAAATGCTGGACAGATGAGCCCAGAGGGGGGGAGTGTTTAAAATCATTGGGAAAAATTGAGAATCTATACAGAGAAAGAGACCCGGAGGAGGAAATTAAATCCGAGTAGCTATTTAAAGCATACATAATAACAGCTGCGGTGAATCATTCAAAAGAGTTAAAAAGGTGACTACATCAATCCTGCTGTTCCTGTCAGACGATTTAACGACTGCATTAAAAAAAAAAATCCCTAAAACACAAATAAGTCAGTGTGATTGTTACCACTCACACGCTACTTTTTTCCAGAAGTTGTATTTGCATCTTTAAGTAAAATCTATAAAATTCTCTTTACATGAAATGTTTACAATTGTGCAACTGACCGCATATAAGTTATAAAAGAAGTAAACAAAATATTAAAATGCTACTGGATAAAATAGATGCTAAAATGAACATTATTTGGAATGAACAATTCTGTGTTCAGCTGACATTTTAAATATATTTTCCTTCTACTGTTAGTTTATACAGATAATGCATTAATATCTGGTATATGTTTTAAAAAGAAGACACGTTACAGATTTTCTTGAAATACTGTCAACAAAAAACTGTCTATATCTGCCCCAGACTAAGGTATCTGCCAGAAATGTTGCAGAGAAACCAGAAAAAAATCTTTAAATATATATTTTTTAAATACTAAATGTCCTGAAGACAAAATCCACCACTCTGCTGGGAAGAAAGGCAGAATAATGGATGATTCTTGGCTCTTGAAAATTGCATAAATGAGCTGATGTTCATTTACAACTGGTGTCAAATCGGTGTTTTGCAACAAAATTGAATTACGGCTCAAAGATGAAATAAATGGCCTGCTAAAATTCTTACTTTGCCGCTGCATTCAATTATTCTGTCAAGTCAATAACAAGTCTGTCGGTGCTATGGCTGCACTGCATTATATTTTCAGATGCACATGTTTTCGTATGGTTTCAGATATTAATCATAAGACCTCCTCATAAATGGAATGAGTGAATATAGGTGCACATTACTGTTACTGAGGAAGGACAGCTAACAAAGTCACATGGCTTGCTTACTGGCATGTACAAGTTACTGGAGCTCTGACTGTGAGTTAGAGATTACAGAGTCCAACACAGCACCCTCCATAATTAAATTCATACACCTGGTTGCCACCTGCCAAGACTGCTGGAAATGCCATGAGTGTGTTTCTTTGTTGAAGAGGATTATGGGATTTCTAATTGGCACCGCCGTGCGCGAGAAACATGATGTTTCTTTAATGTAAACTCTTAAAGCAGTAACATAAGTCAGAAATGTGATGAAACTCTTTCATGCTTTTGTTGCGACAATAAAAAGAGATTAAGGAACTCGACAACTGTAACTGTTGCAGACATCGTGCGCACCGTTTTTATTGAGCTTCAGGATGAGCAGGATGCTGAAAAGCAGGACTTTCAATAGCAGTCTCAAGGCTGTACAACGGAGCATTGAAAAGTGTCCAGATCTGCAACTGGGGCTGAATAAGAGTCCCTGAACCAGAGTCATGGCGAGACAGCTCAGACTCCACAGCAGGGGCCCCCAATCCCATTTAGAAAAGCCAACGTTATTTTATCAGGTCGTTTGAAATTGGCTGGCTGACTATTAAGGTTCAAATGAAGGTGCTGCAGCAGGCTGTGAGGGGGCCTGCAAAACTGCTCAATGTTAAAGGCAAAAATATGCTAAAAATTATACCATGAAGCAGACATGCACAGCATGGAAACACACCAGGGTTTCCTATGCAAAGAATTTTGCTGATTTATCCTGGTACACATAAAAATGCCAAATAACCCTCCATCTTCAGTGTGGTTTCCAAGCATATAAGCTGTCTGTTTTTCCGTTTTCTGTCACAGCATAAATCAGGAGGTGAGACGGGGCTGTACAAAGCCTCCACAGCTCAAAAGACTCCCCTAGTTTTTTGGGGGGTTTTTTTAAACGTGCGAATGAAGCAATTCCTCGGGGTCTAATCCTCACACACTTGTATGCCTTTGTTCGATCTAAGCATATGTGTGTTTTCTCTCCTCTCCTCTTCTTCCTCTGTGTTGCAGATTCATCCCAGGACCTAACAGAGAGCTCCCATTGCAGGGCTCAGCGCCAGGCTCCTTCCCCTCATGTACCCTTTCTCTTCTCATCGAATGGACTAAAACTATTACATCCACGGCTACTGACTGGATTACCTGGGACCATAGAAAGGATATCCACCCAGATAAAACAGCTTTGCTCGCGTGGTGCCAAGGATTTGAAACCAGACTAATCCCGTGTTTGATCAATGAGCTCCATGTTGGTGACTCTCCTCTTCCACACAGCTGTGGCCAGTTTCTGACCTACTCTTCCCTCACTCTGTTTCCCTATTCAGAACTGAAGCAGCTTAGCAGGGGCTATTTAGAGGTTGTTAAAACATAATTTGAAGACGTTCTCCCCGCCCATCTGAGGGTGAACTTGTTGGCAAACTTTCATAGACCTGAACCTGAATCTGTGGAACTGAGGGCACATTGGGGGAAATTACGTCGGTTTATTTTTATTTCTGTGTGGAAAGCATTTGTATTTGACTCACTACCTGAGGCTGATCGCTTTGTTGTGGCTGCACCGAGGAAACTGTCAGCTGTTACCGCTAGAAAGGTCGATTAATGAAGACTCTCAGAGAGGCTTTAGGGTCAACCCCATGGCCTCACGCTCATCCTCCACGACGAACATTCTGACTTTTATTGGTGGGCATGCCCAGTGTAAATTCATGAGCACTTCTTTTCTTTGTATGTAAGATAATTTGTGTATATATACACATATATAAATACATTACATGTTAAGCTGACAGATCCAAGAAGCTGAAAAATATATTTACAGATTTCAAGCCCGTGTTGGAATCCTGAATAACCCTTGAACGTGAGCCAGAGGCTGTCGTCACGGTGCGGTGTGTCTAGGACTGCTTCGCATTGGGGGAAAAAGCCACAACGGAATCATAAAAATAAGTTCTGCTCACTTTTGTCATTCAGCAATGTTGTTTGGTTACTCCAGAAAGCGCTTGTTGTTTCAGTAAAGCTGAGGAAAACACTGTATAGAACTGCCTCACTAAAGAAAGCAGCAACACCCACCCGTGACCTTTCCCCTCAGACACATCAGAGAAACTCTGACCATAATAGGACAATTACGTTTCTGCAGCGGAGAGTGGTCACGGGTGAGAGTGTCTGTAATGTAGATGTTCCTCTTACACACACCAGAGAGATGATTTATTCAAAGTGACAGTGAGAAAGTATTAGTCACAAAGGAGAAACATAGTTATCCCCCAGTAGCTATAAGTACATTACAGGACAGCCTTATGAGAAATAAAAATGGTTTTCTATACTGATATGCTGCCTCCCATTTCTCCATAAGGTGACTGATATTTTGAAAAATGTTCCTCTTACGACTATTTGATATGTTGTAATATGTGGGTGGAAGATCTCGTCAGAGTTTCATTTATTTTATATGTTAACATTGTGAACAGAGTTTTTGCTTGAGTAAACAAGCAATCAAGAATGGCACAGGACGGGTATGAAAATGACTTACGGGCACAGACACACTCACAAACACACACACACACATGCGGTAAACACAAACGGATCTGTGATGCTTCATTTATACAATTCCCTTGCTGGCAGAGTGGATTTATCAAAACAGAGCATTCAATTCATTCATGCAATTAGAATAAGGATTTCCAATATCAGGCCAGGCAAAATTCCAGATGATTTTCAATATCAACCTCCTCTCTCGGCAGATATTAGATTCGTTTCTTGTCCCAGTGGATGCACTAGTGTACATTCATCATTTAGGAATTTGGCTAGTTTCGTGGAGCCCGGTGCCTCGCTGAGCAGTCACAGAAGGTATGAAAAAGACAGAGACATCAATCTCCCAGTGGTCTTGCCAGAATCATGAGGGAATATAGTAAAGGAGAGAGAGAGAGACTGCTTTCTCCTCCTGAATGGGTCATTTCCGTCTTTGTTTTCTCCTATTTATTGGGATTGGCCGTCCTTAAGTCTTATTTAGCTTGTACTAAAGAAAATGAAACAGTAGAGGAGTTTGTGCATATGCACGACCTGTCTGCGGGTGCTTTTTTGTTGCCATAAATGTTTGTCTTTTTTTACACGCACATCCCTGTGTGTGTGTATTTTAGACCCAGAGTCTGGGAGAAATACATCCTGCGACGACGTACTGTGAAGATTATCCTCAAATTCTGTGCTCGTGTAGGAAATCAAGCGATTTCTCCCTTCCTACTTATGCAGTTATAAGTGGATTTTTTTTTTGCTTAAAAGGTGCTTGGGGATCAGAAACGGAAGAGGTGCTTTTCCTTTTGCCTTTTCTCATTCTCTTTTATGCACTGCTTAGCTCTATCCAGAAATGATGGAGTCGTGCTGTGGAGGGAGGTCCTGCACCATTTTAGACAAAGCAGAAAGGAGCCCAGCATGAATAAATAAGCGGGGCCAGGTCCTCCTCCCACGCCACAGGACTGTACAATCTCAAAAGAGAGACATCCATCAAGTCCTGCCGACCTCCCACTGAGACAGGGAGACAGCCATGACCACATCACGCTGGATGGCTAATCAACGCCTGACAGCAAGGACAACCCTTTTCATGCAGCCGAGATATGCGCGCAGGATGTCGGCCAGTGTTGTTTATAAAACTTGCACTTGTAACTTCCAAGGGTATCTCAAGTAAAACCTAAACTTTTGCCCTGCATAGAAGGTAAATGCTTGGCTGCTTTTAGGAGCTTTCATAAAGAGCCTCACTCCTCTTTGACGGCACTTCTGTCTTCGCACTTTATCACATTCATATTCTTTAATCATTTTGGATAGCAACCTATAATTTGTGGAAAGGGCACACTCCTTACCTGTGGGGGCTTTGTGGCCTATAATTACAGTCATTATGGCCATGAGTCACGGTGAATATCAGCTTTATAATGATCATTCACTAGAGCTGGACAACTAAGAGTGTTCGAAAATCATTAATGACACTAAAACTTCCCCTCAATGATAGCTATTTTCTGCAACTTTGGGCATTATTACCAGTGGCCCATTTTCTATGAAATGTAATAGCACAGTATCAGACAGAGTAGAATTAATCCTTTTAATTATTGAACTCAACAAATGGGAGCAGTGGCAGCACTGTCACAGCTAACATGTTCATCACACCTTTTTTTAAAAAGAACTTGTAGTGGTGACAAAACACAAAGTTGATACACACACACACACACACACACACACACACACAAAAGCTGAAACTGATTCAACCGCATACTTTCAAGTGAAACACACCAATCCCCTGCTGTACACCATTGTTTGTAACAAATGAGCACATACTCTGATGGGTATGCAATACATCACTGTTCTAGTCCCATGACACTTAACCGTACCCACCAACCACCAATACCCTTGTCAGCCAAATGACTAGCCTGTCTATGATTGTCAGCGGCTGCCATAATGATAATTTATTTCCGTGCTCCTTTACACTTCTTCACCTTATTTCGTCTCCCATTTCAACCCAAAACGCAGCAAACTAAAATCCATCATGCTGCACATGCTGAATGGCCGAGCGTTGAGGATGACATTTCATGTCCCACAAGGGGCGCCGATGTCGTCACAGAGCAGCCTCCCTGGGAGATTTCACAGTTCACACTTTCCCATTAAACAGAGAGCATTTTTCATAGTGCTGAATCCACACAGCGGGACAGCTGTAAACACACAGTTTCTCAATTGTTTGCCACTTCTGAATAAATGACCAAGAGCCGAACTGGAAGGAGTGAGGAGTTAACTTCTTGTTCCGAGCCGCAGAGTACACGAATACGTCACATGAGTTTAGCTTGTACATCTCACAGTATTCAAAATTTAATGATTATAAAATGCAAAATAATGTTTTCATGCAGGACACAACGCAGGATGAGGACACACAGCACATCTCACAGGTTGAAAAGGCTGTTTGTTTGTGTTGAATTTGTGTTTTTTTTTTATTGCGTTATTTTTTTTCATAAAATGTCCAGTGCACCACAGAGTACTATAATTCAGACCAGTAAACACGACACAGCTATTTTCTGGTGTTGGCTTCAATTACATCATACAGTAAAGAAATAAAGACATACATATCAGAGATCTATCTATCTGTCTGTCTATCTGCTAGATAGACAGACAGATGCTGCTTTGATTGCAGAGAAGATTGTACCTTGGCATTTTTAAGGAGAGGTCAGATACAATTTCATGTTGTTTGTCCACAATTGTATAGACAGTTCACAACTGGCCTGGCCCCCAGGCTGCCTGCCAGAGACAAAGCACTGTGCCGTCAGTCCAAACCTGCCCACACACACAATATCTGCAGTGAACTTATCTAAAGTTTGGATGATGGAAAGGCAAACTAGAGCATTTGTCTTGCCCACACACTGCCTGAAAAGTTTTGCCATGTCATCGAGTTCATGCAATTTCCGTTTTTCTCGTTCTCCATTAAGTTACCTGAGTTTCCTAATCAATTGGGTTTATCCTGTAAATGTGGGTTCAATTTGAACAAATAGTACCGTTGGATGATCAAACTGAATCTTAAACTGGAAATTACTAACAGTTCTACTGTTGTAGACTAGCGTTAGGCTAGTAATACACCAAGGCCAAATACCAAATACATGTTTAGTCCTTGCTCTGTCCTCACACAGGCTTTCACGAATAATAGAAATCCTAAAATTCGATTAAGCCATAATCTAATAAATTTAAAACATTTTCACAAATAAATTGCTACAATTCATATTCATTCTCTGATCTGTCTCTTCCACATTATATCATGTCTCAAGGCCGTCTCACAAAAAGTTCCTCTTTTCTGAATTTGAAAGTGAATCCTTGTGATTACAGCATGACGCAGAACACCAAGTATGTAAAATCCACAATAACACATAAAAATCCATGGACTGACTAGACAGAAAGTGAATTGTTGCTATTCTCTCCTGTGTCAGGTACAAGCTGAGCGGTTATATAGCACAGTCTCAGCAGAGTCTTTAGTCTGGGTTAATGGTAAAGGTGATTTTCTGATGGCTGCAGGATGGAACCACTTTCCCTAATTCCACTCTCAGCCAATGAGCTGCCTCTTTCTCTGGTATGCAAATTAGAGGCACAAGGGCAAGCAGGGATTGTGAAGGACACAGTCTTTAGGCCACAAGGAGACGGAGCCACCCCGGAGGGCCAACGATGCCTCATTCAGATTCAACACGATCATTTCCCCTCGGCAGATGAAGTACGTCGGTGCTAAACTCAGACTGAATACAGTGCCGAGAACACAAGCAGGCATACCTTTAAAAAACGATTGCAACCAGTAGTCCAGTGTGGAAATCTTGTTTAATAATTGAATGTGAATGATGTGCTATCTGGGCCATAAAAGCATACCTTATAGTGGCATACATTCTTCAGAAAATCGCCTTAACCTGGCAACTGACATATACACACACAAGTACACAAAGGGGCTGAACACATGCCTTTACCTAAGCAGCCAGTATTGCAAACCTCGCTGCTAGATTGGAATTTTAAGATGAGCATGATGCAGAAATCAATTTAGATGTTATTCCCACGACAGTGCCTGGGTATGACTAGCCAGGGTATTTTCTATTTTGTGTTACCTTTCCCACCTTGATTTTTTTCCCCCAAGCTATCATCCCAAATAGAATGGTGTCTGCGCCTCAAGGCGGCAGCCATTGATCCACACTGGAAGTGAGACACTGCTGCTTGTGCCATCGGCACAATACTTGTTATTGGTCAGACTTCATCAGTGACTGGATATAGATGGTCAAACGTGCTGGCTGTACACAGACATGGTTGTGATACAACTGAGCTTTAACATCTCAGTGTGTGACCCAATGCTTCCAACTACATATTTATAGGTTTAAAAGGAAGTTATTGGAATTAGCCTATAAATTAAGCAATAGACTCTCATATTTGTATGTTTCATATGAAATAGCATAGCATTTTGGAAGATCTACGTCTCTATATGGCTTGCCTTTATGGTATTGTACAGCAGGGTGGAAGACTGGTGTAGTAGTTAGCACTGTCGCTTCTTGATTTGAACCTTCTTGGGGCAATTCTGTGTGGAGTTTGCATGCTTTCCCTGTACTTGTGTGGGTTTCCTTTGGGTGATCCAGTGTTCTCCTACAGTCGGAAGAGTATTGCGTTAATTGGCGATTCTAAATTGCCTGTAGGTAAATGTGAGATATACAAAGTGGTTAAAGATTTATAGTGCTATGCGATTGGGGTTTGCAGCCTAAAGTACTTTGAGCAGTAAGAAAAACACCAAAAATATGCTATATAAATGCAATCCACTGACCACAACCACGACAGCTACAGAAA